CAGCAGTATTAAATCAGTTTGTGGTTGGAGTAGACAAGTAACGGAATGACAAGGCATGGGACTGAGTAACGCTTTGTGGGTTCAATCCTGCAAGGGGCAAGCTGTTGTTTCCTTGAGCAAGAAACTTTACTCTCATTTCTCATGCAGAACTGGTTGGTTCAAGGCATTGAAGAGTGTAGTGTGTCTGTATGCTAAATTTCTACATAATCAGATTAAAATTAATTCTCATCTTATATATAAAAAAAAGAAGACATTTTCAAATTCACAGCAAGGCACATATTATTTTAAACATTTATTACACATAAAGTGTATTGTGTTCTTACTTGGCCACAACAACCCTTGTTTTTGTGCCCCCACGTTAGTGGCGGGCATTTAGATTTACCCTTGTCCGTCCGTCCTTCCGTCCGTCCGTCCGTCCTTCCGTCCGTCCGTCCGTTCACTTTTGTGTCGCACGTAACTCAAAAAGTATTTGTCCTAGAGTCATGAAACTTTACAGGAATGTTGATCAGCATGTGTAGTTGTGCACCTGGGTATTTTCGTTTGGATATTTTTAGTATTTTCAGAGTTATTGCCCTTGACTTAGTAAAATTTTGCAATTTTCAACTTGTGTCGCATGTAACTCAAAAAGTATTTGACCTAGAGTCATGAAACTTTACAGGAATGTTGATCAGCATGTGTAGTTGTGCACCTGGGTATTTTCGTTTGGATATTTTTAGTATTTTCAGAGTTATTGCCCTTGACTTAGTAAAATTTTGCAATTTTCAACTTGTGTTGCACGTAACTCAAAAAGTATTTGACCTAGTGTCATGAAACTTTACAGGAATGTTGATCAGCATGTGTAGTTTTGCACCTGGGTATTTTCGTCTGGATATTTTTAGCATTTTCAGAGTTATTGCCCTTGACTAAGTAAAATTTTGCAATTTTCAACTTGTGTCGCATGTAACTCAAAAAGTATTTGACCTAGAGTCATGAAACTTTACAGGAATGTTGATCAGCATGTGTTGTTGTGCACCTGGGTATTTTCGTTTGGATATTTTTAGTATTTTCAGAGTTATTGCCCTTGACTTAGTAAAATTTTGCAATTTTCAACTTGTGTCGCATGTAACTCAAAAAGTATTTGACCTAGAGTCATGAAACTTTACAGGAATGTTGATAAGCATGTGTAGTTGTGCACCTGGGTATTTTCGTGTGGATATATTTAGTATTTTTGGAGTTATTGCCCTTGACTTAGTAAAATTTTGCAATTTTCAACTTGTGTCGCACGTAACTCAAAAAGTATTTGAACTAGAGTCATGAAACTTTACAGGAATGTTGATCAGCATATGTAGTTGTGCACCTGGGTATTTTCGTGTGGATATTTTTAGTATTTTTGGAGTTATTGCCCTTGACTTAGTAAAATCTTGCAATTTTCAACATGTGTCGCACGTAACTCAAAAAGTATTTGACCTAGAGTCATGTAACTTTACAGGAATATTGATCAGCATATGTAGTTGTGCACCTGGGTATTTTCGTGTGGATATTTTTAGTATTTTTGGAGTTATTGCCCTTGACTTAGTAAAATCTTGCAATTTTCAACATGTGTCGCACGTAACTCAAAAAGTATTTGACCTAGAGTCATGTAACTTTACAGGAATATTGATCAGCATGTGCAGTTGTGCACCAGGTATTTTTGTCTGGATTTATTTAGTATTTTTAGAGTTATTGCCCTTCACTTAGAAAATTTTTGCAATTTTCAACTTGTGTCGCAAGTTACTCAAAAAGGATTTGACATAGTCATTAAACCTTATGGGCAGGTTGCTCAGCATATTTAGAGTTGCACCTGGGGTTTCGCTTGTGGATTTATCCAGTATTTGTAGAGTTATTTCCCTTGACTTAGTAAAAAGATTGACAGAACAGTGGCGTGGTGGGGGCACCCGTGTCCTATGGACACATTTCTAGTTTTTAGTTATAGTCACTTCAATAAGGTTTTAACAGGTGGTACTCATTCTGGCTGCAAGTTTTTAATAATATAATTTTTTCCCTATAAATTTGATTGCAAAACTTCAATGAAAGGAAAATTTCAAATTTTACCTTTTAAATAAACCCTGTTTTAGGACTTTATAAAAAAACATTTTTTGGATATGGGATCTGTTTTTTGGGTCAAACATACTTTCCGGGTTAAAAATTTCCCAATAAAACTACCTGGAAAAAAATCCCATCTTTAAATGGCCATGTGATTTAAAGAGGCTTTAAATGAAAGTTTTTTTAAGGGCGAAAATGAAAACCTGAAAAGATCCCACCGACACCCTAGTAAAATGAAAAAAAACCTTAGACCTTTTTCCTTGGGAGAGGGTTCAAAGCAAAATTTTAATATTTGCCGCTTTTTGATTGGGGCAATTTGATTTTGCTAAAAAATCACCCTTTGTCATAAGAGGTCATTTGCAGTGGCCGTTAAAAATCAGGACAGGTGACAGAAAAGAGATTGACCACACTTTTCTGTTTCATTGTCAAGTCACCACACCAACGCGTCATTTTGGGAGGAGCTGCTGTGTTGCGTAAAATGTGCTTCATTAAAGTAATCCAGCGAAGAATGTAATTATAAGTATTAAATATAACAATCTCTGTTGAGTTTAAACTTAAATTGACAGATTTGAACCCAATAAATTTGTTTTTATCATTTCAGTTTCTGTAGGGAAACTATTATTTTCTTATTGTTAAGTGTTTATAATGATGATAGTAATATATGAGGTTTTTGCTCCAACTTCTTACAATTACAAGTATGGTAAATAATGATTCAGTCTTTTTTGTAATGGTTATATTAAGTTTTATCATTATTAAAATTTTTGAAACATTACAGTTAAAATTTACTGAAATGTTTGAAAATTTTTAATAATGATCATTCATTATTTTGAAGTTGTGATTTGAATGTATTTTTTAACCTGGAAAATTTTATTTTTTAATTTACAGTATATTGTAATCTCTCTACGTCTTGCATGAGTCAAATTTATTGTTAATTTTAATTTTGAAAAGTTGAAAATTCATGGACACAAATTAATAAGCAATCAATAAATTTCTTTGACCCCATATGGGATCATCTGCTGGTCAGTTTTGGAGGGAAATCTATGACGCAAGAGATCAAAGGAGCCTGTCTCCTAGACCTGAGACTACAAAGATTCTGCATTACAATGGACTGGTTCTAAATTTATGCACAGAGGACAGAAGTATCCATTTATAGAAACAGAGTCTGAGAACCCATCTGTTACTCCCAGACTGGTACCTGTTGTTCATAATATTGAAGGGTGCACAGTTATGCACAAAATGTAATCATTGTCTCTCAGATGCTTTGATGTTGTAAGCACCTGCTTGATATTGTCTTGCAGTAGCAGAAGGGAACTAAAATGGAAAGGTTAACCTGTTGATAATTTGAAATGGAAATTTATTTATGGAATTTTCTGAAATTATTTTTAAATAGTAAAGACAGATGACTGTTCTCAAAAGAGACAAGAATAGCTATGAACTCACTAATGCATAGCTGGTAAAGGTCAAGCGTACTAGTTGAATATTTCAAAGAAAATGTTGGGAGAAAAATCACAAATATTTATGATGTTAAAGAATGATATGCATTTAATTTTTGCAGAAATTGTTTAATAATTATTCTTGGCTATATTTTGCATTCAATTGAAAAAAAAATCTGTTTTTAAAAAGAAGCTTGTAGTATATATGTACCAATTCAGTATATGTATGAATTTCAAAATGATTGCCAGTAACTATAAATGATTTAAAAAAATCAGGTAGTTTCTCAATGAAGGCTGTATTAGCAAATAAAGCAAAACATGTTCTTCAAATCATCATAATTTTAACAATTTATTTTTATGATTATTGTTTTGAATTTTTTAAGTTAATTGGGGAACTTAATTGAATGAATTTGTTTGTACAGAGTTGTGTATGCATTATAATATACATGTTGATTATTACAAAACTGTCATCAATATTGATTTATTGTTTATTGATTATGGTCATAGATTTGAAAAAAGAAAGGACTATAAAAAATTAAGTAATTAATTGATAAAAAGTATAGAAATTAAAGAAAAAAAAACACACTTAAAACATAATCTTAAAATAGTGCCCTGTCAAAGAACATGTCAGAAATTCTGTCACTCATTTTACATATTTCAAAGCATTAATGAAAATATAACAAGAAAGTGAATTTTTTACCGAAGTCATGAAAATATGAAATTGAAATGTAGATAAATGATACTTAATTCATTATATAGATGTATATATTTGTCCCCCTTCATAGAATAATATGAAATTGATAGGCTTTGTAAAATTTGTTTGCTTTGAGTCTGAGATCAGGAGTAAAAAAGATATCATTCAACATTGCATGCATGCAGCTTTACTCTTAGATGCCAAACAAATTTAACAACTTTGAAACAATAGTAAATCTGTATGTGAACCACTTCAATTTTAACCCTTAACCTGCTGGCACATGCATGCAGACTGATCATGGGGCTGTATGTACATTACATTTTTGTCTTGATATCCCTAAAATTGACAATGGACATTTCCTAAAATGGAAGTTGGACAAGTCCATTTAAGAAATACAGCAGGATAATGGTCAAGAAGCAGGCCAGTTTGAACAATATTCTCTGCCATTTCACCATGCATAGGTTATCTTTAACTTTCTGCTGCAGACTTTGAATTATTGTTGTGATAATGAAAAATCAATTGTTTTAGCAGTATATTTAATGTCACTTGACACTTCGGTTTATAATAAAGTTCATATACATGTATTTTACCAAAAAATTGAGTTTGTAATATTTTTAAATTGTTTTGTCTTTATGTAATTGTAATATATATATATAGAGATATATAATATATAATATAATAAAGAGATATATAATACATGTAGTAAAAGATAGAGCAATAATTGTCAGCTGTGACTTTGGAACAAGGAGCAAAAGTGTTATAAATTGTTTACTTCTTCAAACTGAGATATGTCAGGATCAGAATTTCCTTACCTTGTCACCATGGTGTGTTGACGTTCTGTTTCCATGGAAATGTGTCCAATATTCACATTTTCTTTTTCCATTCTAGATATAAAGTGCTCCCTGTTTGTAAATGTCTTTTGAATTTTAATCTGCTCCAATAAAATAAGAGTTAGGTCTAAATGAGACACTGTAACTTTTCCCAATAATTGCGCGCTGAACATTCTCACTTTTCACAGTATAATCATCATTTAAGACACGGCTATACTGAAAAGAAGTCCATTTTCTTCTTTTATATTTGTCTTCGGTTTATTTTATATTTGGAAACAGACCTAGAAAAGGATTGCTTCTCATGAAAATTGGAGAGATATTTTTGACATTTCATTTAAGTCGTGTTGCTGTTTTTAGAAGTTGAAAGTGATCAATATAGATTAGTTTATGGTTGTCAGATATTAGAATAGGAATTTACAAATCTAGAATTTGGAGCAGACGACAGTTATATATAAAGATGTTTATAATGATGTAGAGGTGAGGAAGTGCTATTTTTATTTAAGGACAAGAGTAATGCTATGAATAGAAGATACAATTATAACGTAGAATGGCTTCCTTATAATTATCATTAGAGATCTATATTGGATTGTTTTTTTAAATTTTTTTATTTTCTGTAAAAAATGTTTTTCAACATTTTTTTTTAGTTGAAAGAATGAATAATGATGACCATGCAAAATGAAATAAGTTTAATTTATCTACTATGAGTTTTATTTTACTAAAGCACTTTGTGCTAGTTTTTCTTTTTCTTTATGTTGATATATTAGCTTAAGAAAATCCAAAGTTATTGCCCCAATAACTCACAGCTTCATGGAGTGGATCAAGGAATAAATTTTATCTTGCTAGATATTTAGTATTTATTGTTAGTGTAAATCACTTTTCCTTCTTTCCCTACGTCTTTAAATTTTAATCCTTAAGTTACTTTGCAGTGGATTCATGTATTAAAGCTGTTATTATATTAGTAAGTTTAGTAAGTTTGCAGTTTTCTGTTTACGAATTTCCATACCGAATTGCTGTGACAGGTTGGACATTTGTGTGGCTGAAATCTGCTTAATAATAAATTTGTTTTTTCACCAAGCTTACAATGGATTGTTCCAAAGTTAAATTATAAAAATTATAAAAATTCACCAATGTTACAAAGGGTTGAAAATGTTTATATAATATATTAGGGTTTAAATTGACTATATATAGTAAATTCAATTTGTAAGGGAGTAAAAATGAAACAGCATTCATTTAAACTAAGGGAGTTAAAGATTTCTGTCCCAAACATATATTTCGCTACAAGATGTGAATCCATCCTAAACTTAATTGAATTTATTAATTTTTGTGGTATAGATGAAAATAATATGCTTTTGCTAAGAATTATAGGCCCGGATATTGCCATCACTGTGCAGTTTACCAGAGTAGGAGTCTTTGGGTATATAAGTCTTAACATCAAATTCCATTGAAATACTTTACAATGCAGACAGTTCCAAAATGAAGGCAGTGAATTACTTTAAAAACAACAACAAAAAGAAAATAAAAAACATGAATAACCCATTGTTTTGCTTCATTAAGAGATAATTAGCTTTCAAGATTTTTTTGTTTCCTTTTTCCACCATGATTAATGCTTTTGTGTAATTGGTAAATTAGGTTTTGTTTAAATTTAATTTAACCAGTTAAAAAAATGTCAACATTTTTCTCACTAAATATATCAGATGGTTTAAAGTCATTTTTTTTGCATATTAAATATAAGTTTATAGTATTTATTTCCATGCAGCAGCATTTATATCAGATGAACACATTTTATTGCAATTTCTTGTTGTAGTTAATGAATAATTTTACAAGTATTTATTTTTTTCATATTCTTAACATGTTCAATTGCTATGTTGGACATCCTTACCATCCATTTGTTACAATGATTTTCCTAATAAATAAATAGCCAGCAGTATTTACTGTAGAGTTTGTCAAACTGCACAGAATTGTTGTGAGCTGGCCTGGGCCTTGAAGCAATGGACCTGAGACAGACTGGCTTCAGGAGTTAAACATTGACAATAAGCATTTATTGTTGATTGAATTCTTAAGCACTATAATACAGTGTTTAATGTAAATGTTGACTAAATCATTTAATTGAAGTTAAAGCGGATGAGATTGACCTTGAGTCTGAAGTTATTATATAAATAAACGCACAAGAAATTTGTATGATGCTTTAATTGCCATAGAAATGTGTTGTTTAAGTTATGTCTTGTAGAAGGTAATTTATTCATAAGAATTTATAAGTCAATAATTGCCCAAATGGCTAAGATTTGCATAGTATGATTTGCCAAGACTTGAATGTACCAATTTAGAGAATTATTCAATTGGAAATGCATTTGATTAGTTTGAAGCATTCTAGAATTACACACTGCAGAAATGGCCAAGATTTAACTAAATGTGGCATTCTAGAATTACACACTGCAGAAATGGCCAAGATTTAACTAAATGTGGCATTCTAGAATTACACACTGCAGAAATGGCCAAGATTTAATTAAATGTGGCATTCTAGAATTACACACTGCAGAAATGGCTAAGATTTAGCTAAATGTGGCACACTGCAGAAATGGCCAAGATTTAACTAAATGTGGCATTCTAGAATTACACACTGCAGAAATGGCCAAGATTTAATTAAATGTGGCATTCTAGAATTACACACTGCAGAAATGGCTAAGATTTAGCTAAATGTGGCACACTGCAGAAATGGCCAAGATTTAACTAAATGTGGCATTCTAGAATTACACAGCTGAAATGGATTTTATTGTATGATTCTTGAAGTGCATACTTTAGTAATTGTTTTTATTCTAGAACTGTACATGCTGCAGAAATGACTTAATACTTGTGTGTATCATTTATGCTTCATATTTGAATGATATTTTCTAGAATGCTGAAAATAAAATACAGTTATATCTGCAGCAAATAGACATGGTGTGAGTGCTTAAAATGACTGAAATTTGTATGTAAAAAGCAAAATTTAAAGTTCTTGCTGCAGAAATGACTAAAGTTTGTATGTAACATTTATGCAGAAATGAATAAAAGTTTGTATGGAACATTCAAAAAGTACTTGCTGCAGAAATGACTAAAGTTTGTCTGGAACATTAAAAAAATACTTGCTGCAGAAATGACTAAAGTTTGTATGTAACAATTTCAAGTAGTTCTTGCTGCAGAAATATTGAACATTGCTGCAGAAATGACTGACTTTGTATGTAACATTCAAAAAGTGTAACTTGCAGCAGAAATGACTAAAGTTTATGTGTAACAATGCTGCAGAAATGACTGAATTTGTCTTTGTATGTAACATTCAAAAAGGACTTGCTTCAGAAAAGACGAAAACTTGAAATAGTCATTCTGTAATTAAAGGGCCTTGCAAGAAACTGTTCAAGTTAATCCATGGGACAAATGACTGAAATTTATTCAAAGACTTGAATGAGATTTTCTGAAAGTTATCTTTGCTGTTCAATAAACTTACTGGTATTGCATGAAGCTTACTGGTAATGCAAAACTTTGTGAATTTGATTTTAAGTCATTCTTAAAAGTTAAATGGTTTTAGAGGAGGGTGCACTTAATCAATAAAAGTGGACAATCAATAAATGTGGACAGAATTTTCTGAAATAAAGCTCTATATATGTTGAACATGTGGAGGAAATATTGAAAAGTCAAAAAGTTATTCATAAATTTCATTTTCAATAATCTATCTGTTATTCATATTTAAGTTTCCTGAAAAAATAAAACCTTGGTCAAAATCAAGGACAATATTTTCTAATCTAATTGGGCATAAGAAAATCGAAAGTATAAACAACTTAAGGATTAGAGATTAGCAAATATGGCAGCTTTATTTTCTGTTGAAATAATAATAGATTAGCTGTAGTGTATCCAAAATGCATTAGGAGGGTTTTAGCAGATAAGCTGAGTTAATATGATTTTCTTAGTAAACATGGCTTTTAAGGTCATGTTCAGGAGATATTCTGCCAAAGATTTCTGCTTACAAGACTTTTCATCACTATAAAGAGTCAGGGTAAGTGACATCTGCTTTCCACACAACAGTATAGGGCCAGGGCCAGTGATGTTTGCTGTATAGTTGTCTGTTTTTAATGAAGTCCAGTATAGGGCCAGGGCAAGTGATGTCTGCTTACAACACTGCAGTATAGTTGTCTGCTTTTTATGAAGTCTGCTTTTCACACAACAGTATAGGGCCACTTTTCATATGGGCAAGTGGCATCTGCTTTCAACACTGCAATATAGAGCCAGGCCAGTGATGTCGGCTTACAAGACTGCAGTATAACCGTCTGCTTTTTAGCCTGAGGGCCAGTGACGTCTGCTTTTCACACTGCAGTTTATAGCAAGGGCCAGTAACATCTCCTTTCTTCACTGCAGTAAACAGTATTAGGGCCAGTGACATCTGCTTTCAGCACTGCAGTATACAGTAAGGGCCAGTGACATCTGCTTTCAGCACTGCAGTATACAGTAAGGGCCAGTGACATCTGCTTTCAGCACTGCAAGAATAGAGAACTAGAATATATAGAATATATAGAATATAGAATATTCTGCACTGCAGAGTTTAACTGTATTAACACCATTGTATCTATAAGGATTGTTAGTGTATAAAAGAGGGAAGGATGCAATATCACCAAAATATCCTTGAAAAAATATGAATGAAGTTATCAAAAGATTAACATATTTCTTGTTCATTTGTCTGTAAACTGGATTATACAACTTGAGTATGATTAACTTATTTTATTTAACTTTTAGTACTATTCAATACTAAAGTATTTAAAGGACTTAGAAGATTAATGTGTTATTATTTTATTATGATTAGACATGCTTTGTTTGAAACTGTATGTTTATTAATGTAAAGGTAACAGTTGCTGTTCTATTGAGTGTTTAATAGTATTAAAGTCATTATATAAGGTCATACATTTTGTTTGTATATTAGTTTTAGATATTTGAAGAGCTGAATGTTTCAAAAACAAATGTATTCTGCTATTAAGGATGTTTAAGTGAGCAAACAGTTAAGCATGTGTGTGCATATCATTGACCTAAGATTCTGTAACAATGATGGGTTTATCGTGCATTTTTTCCTTATTTTCGTATAAAAAACTCAATAACATACAAAATTGAATTGTAATTTCTGTATCATGTTGGACGAGTTTTGTTGTCGAGTCAAGGTTTACTGGAAGAGGGGAGGGATTGATGGTGAATATAAATATATGATAAGTCTGTTAAACTAAATTAGTGATGTGTAGGGGGTAGGTGGATGGGGGAGATATCTGAGGATATAAAGAAAGCTGACAAAGAAATGACTTTATATATATCTTTTGTACATATAAAGTTCTGCCCAACATGGTTTAGAAATGGTGTTACATGTATATGCAATGTTTTAAAATTCCAAGGTTCTATTCTTCAAATTTAAATCAGTGTAACATG